CTGGGCGCTGCGCTATAGGCAGCTCTTCGACGAGGGGGGGGGAAATGCGACGAAGGAGGGCGAAGGAGGGACGAAGGCAAACTGTGCTGCTGGCGGGATCTGCCTGCGCTCCTTTCTCCTCCTCCTCCTCCTCCTCGTCTTTTTCCTCCTCCTGCTGCTGCTGCTCCTCCTCCCCCTTCTCCCTCTCCTCCTCCTCCTCCTCCTTCTCCTCCTCCTCCTCCTCCTTCTCCTCCTCCTCCTCCTCCTCCTCCTTCACTCGCGCCGATGAGGGTTCAGCCAAACGGTGCTCGACCGGCCTCTGTACGGGCACGGTGGCAGGTACAGCATCTTCCCGTATGACAAACGAGAAAGCCCTGCGCACCTTCCCCCCGTGCCAAGGGCTCCCAACTTCGCGCTTCGCGCTGCGCGAAGCGCGAAGTGCGAACAACTTCGCGCTCTCGCGCCGCCTCCCAGGCTGGGGAGAAGAGGAGGACGAGGAGGAATCGGAGCCGAACCGCGAAGCGCGAACAACTTCGCGCCCTCGAGGGCGCCCCTGCGTACGGGGTGCCTGACACGCGTGCTCGCGCCTTCCCCCAGATCCGGGGTGCCCGACACGCGTGCTCGCACACAGGACGTCTGCCGCGTGCATGCACTCGCAGGCCGACGGCCGAGGATCGGAGGCAGCGCTGGGACGGCGCGGGCGGGGCCCCCCCTGGTGTAGAGAACGCCAGGACGATGGCCCGCAACCGCCCCCCAGGTGTACGCCAGATCATACGACCGCGAAGCAAAATGAAAGAGAAGACAATAATTCATATCAATCGGACGAGTCTGACAGAAAGGCAGCAGCGTCCTCCTCCTCCCCGGGGCGATGAGGCCAGGCGCCTCAGCCTCGCCCTCCATGAGGGGCTCGAGGCCGCCGTCACGAGGTGGAGGTGGGGAGGGAGGGCGAGCTGAGAGCTGGATCGCCTCCGCCGCTGGGCTGGGAGGGGCAGACCGAAGAGAGACCCCGTCCCCCCCGTCACCGCCGAAGTCCCTCCACCACTGAGCAGCTCCGTGGATGACACGCCGCGGTCTGACAAAGCGAGCGCCCTTAGGCCACGGCAAGGTGCCTCGACGGAACCACCTCACCTCTGCCATCTTGACTCTGCTGCAGGGCCTGGGCGTCTTAGAACAGTAGGATCCACATCTGGAGCAAGAAGGCACAGGAGTGCCTGAGGCTGCGATCCTGGAGGCCCAGAGCTTATGGCAGGGCGACGATAAACAAACGCCACGGACCGAAGGATTGCAAAAAAACCGAAGGATTGCAAAAAAACCGAAGGATTGCAAAAAAACCGAAGGTTTTTTTGCAATCCTAGGTTTTTTTGCAATCCTGGGTTTTTGTGCAATCCTGGGTTTTTTTTGCACTCCTTTGGACCCAATGGAAGAAAGAAACGCCTCCCGGAAAACGCTCGGTGGTCTTCGGCCTGGCCGGCGGCCGCGTCGGGCACGGAACCAAGGGCTGTTCTCGCCCAAGGCGGCTCCGAGAGGACCCTCAAGAGTGCCGTAGTCGCCGTCAACTCGGCCCAATCTGGCCACAAAGGAGCCTCGAAGCAAGCTCGAGGTGCCTCGATTCGGGCCCAGATGACCCCAAGACGTCCGAAGATGGCCACAATGTGACCTTAGGAAGCCCCAAAAAGGCTCGAAGAGAACCCCCAGGAGGGCCTCGAGAGGCAATAGCCAGTGGTCCCGCTTCAATTCTCATTGATTTTGAACATCTTTCCTTTTCGGTCTCAACAGCGTCCAAGACGGATAAACGACGGCCTGATCCTCCTCCTCCTCCTCCTCCTCCTCCATCTTCCGGTTGTTGCTCCTGCTGCTCTTCTTACATCACGGACTCCTCCCTCTCTTTCAGGACTTGCAGCGGGAAGAAAAAGAAGAGGCTCCTCTGAGCCTCTTCCTCGTCCCGCTGCAAGTCCTCCTCCTCCTCCTCCTCCTCCTCGTCCGCCTGCCTACGAGAGGGGGGCGCAGAGTGGAAACAAATGCGACGCGGGGGAGCCGCGCTCTCAAACTCCCGCTGGCGCGGGCGAGAGCCACGATCTGAGCCTGGCATGACGCAAACGGGTCCCGCGGGAGACGGGGCCTGAACCCAGGGGCTTTCCTTCAGATCCGCGCGTCGTCGCTTAAAACATCACGACGGCCAATTCTGATACGTTTTCGGCCTCCGGAGGCCATCTCCAGGCCCCAGGACTTTCAAACATATAGCTCAGGATGAAATGCTGGTCCCTGAAAGAGATCGAGATCCCAGGCGGCCCGCCCGTCCGCCGAAAGGGCTCGATCGCGGCCCGTTCGGCGGTCGAACGGGATCAGAAAATAATCCCGACATCCGACGATGTTTTTTTTTTTTTTTTTTTTTTTTGTTTTTTCCATGCGCGGCCCCAGGAGGTCCCCCATTGCTTCCCCGGGGGCCAGCTCTTCCAGCCAGGTCAACTCTTGATGGCCCCGCGGCCGAAATCGAGGAAAAACGCCCGGGTTGAAAAGCCACGTCGTCGGAGACCTCGGAGCCGCAGGGTCTTGAGCAGGCCTACCGCGACATGTTCCAGGAACAAAAAGCAATGTTCTTAGAGCATAAGCCCGATGTGTTAAAACAATACAATCTCAGCCACAAATGTTCTAAGGACATGTCGTGGAAACCACAAAAGGTTCTTAGAACATTGCTTGGCAGGCCTGTAGGCCCGCCAAGACGCTTCGCCACTGCTTGACAGGGTCGAGCGTCGTGCCCGGCCGGCCGGCCCGGCCCGGCCCAGTCAACCGCGGGGTGGCGCCTTGTGGCGGCGCGCCCGCCGGGGGCGGCGTGGCGGTCGGGGCTGGGCTCGCCGCCTCGGGCGCCCGCGAGGAGGACACGCGAGGCAGGAGGAGGAGGAGGAGGAGGAGGAGGAGGAGGAGGAGGAGGAAGAGAGGAGGAGGAGGAGGAGGAGGGCGGAGGTTGAGGAGGAGGAGGAGGGGGAGGAGGAGGAGGGAGGAGGAGGACGGAGGAGGGAGAATCGGGAAGATTCGGCGAGACGCATGCGAGTTTCGTCCTTATGCGGGTTGCCGCTTTCGGGAAGGCGGAGGAGGAGGAGGAGGAGGAGGAGGATGAGGAGAGAGAGGAGAGAGGAGGAGGAGGAGGAGGAGAGGAAGGGGACGGGGGAGGAGGAGGAGGAGGAGGAGGAGGAGGAGGAGGAGGAGGAGGAGGAGGAGGAGGAGGAGGAGGAGGAGGAGGAGGAGGAGGGGGTTGGGATATGAGGAGTTGGTTTACTGGTGTGTTGGTAGATTGGTGCATGAAGGTGGAGGTACGTTTGGACCCCTCCCTGCAGCCGTCTTCGTTGGCCGAGGGGCTGCAGGGAGGTCCTCGGCCCCCTCCATTGGCTACTGACGCCGTAAAGTATTGGTGTAATGGTGTATTGGTGGGAGAGGGCGACCCCCGCGGCCCCTATGATGGCAGCCGCAGGGGGTGTGAGGCCTATGATGGTCCTCACTGGTGAGGCCTATGATGGTCCTCACCGGGGTGGGGGTGGGGGAAGAGGGCAGAAAGTCGAAGCGGATGTCCGGCAGCAACGTCCTGGGGGGATACCTGAAAAGGGGACTTAAAAACAACGTCTGTCCTCCGCCTATGTTCCAGAGGAGCCCCGTTCAAAAAGCAGAGGCAGAGATAGAGAGGGAGGAAGGGAGGGAGGGAGGGAGTGAGGGAGGGAGGAGAGGGAGGGAGGGAGGGAGGAGAGGGAGAGAGGGATATATAGAGAGAGAGAGAGAGAGAGAGAGAGAGAGAGAGAGAGAGAAAAAGAGAGAGAGAGAGAGAGAGAGAGAGAGAGAGAAAGAGAGAGCGAGGCAGAAACGAGGACAAATGTGCACGCCTCGGGGGGGGTCGGCCCCCGGACCCGGAAGATACGAAATACACAGATTTCGTATCACAAGGTAGCTGGCAGCGAAGCTGTATCATGGCACCCTGGGAGCGTGCAGCGGCAGGGATGCACCACCTGGAGTGCGAAAGCGACACGTGGTGACGTCAACCCGGCCGAAACCCAGTGACCAGAGGAGGCCCCCAGAGGCCGACAAGGGTCACAGGCCAGAGGTATCCACGACCTGTACCCCCCCCCGCGGGCGCGATTTATTTTCTCCGCCAGCACGGAGGGACCGGTACACCCAACAGCACGGAGATCCGACAGCGGATAGGCCGGTGCACCCAACAAAAACATGGATGGATCGGTACACCCAAAGGCACTGATTGGCTTTATCCCATGGGGTGGAGCACCCGCAGGGGCATACACCCGTAACCCACGACACACACACACACACACGGCACACACACACGCACACACACGCACACGCACACGCGCGACCACGCACCCCGGGGGCACACGACGAAAAAGACACAGCAAGAAGAGGACGCCTCGAACCTCGGAGCTGCGGCCAAAAGTCCTGACAGGGGCACCTGAAACGGGATACCTGAAAGAGGGAAGCGGCCTGACCGGGGGACCTGAAGCCGAAGGAAAACGACAGGGGGGGACGATCCAAGGCGGCCCCTGGACAGCTCTCGGCGATGGACGGCGGCTACACCCATCCATGAAGAAAGGCGGGGGGGGGAGGAGGAGGAGGAGGAGGGGAGTAGGCCCAGCCACACACCTGCGCCCCAAGTGGCAGACGGAGGTGGCTGGGAGGGTTTTACATACCCGTCCTTGGAGAGCTCGGCTTAAGGGCGGGGAGCGGGAACGACCTCATGAGTGACGCCGCGGCGGCACATGTGACACCGCGGCGGCACGGGTCGAACCGTCACCCTTGGTGCACTGGCGCACTGGGTTGGCAACTGACGCCACAGAGTAATATATTACTGACATTGACAGGCACCGTCAACCGGCAGGAGGGGGAGGAGAAGGGGGAGGAGGAGGAGGAGGAGGAGGAGGAGGAGAAGGAGGAGGAAGGAGGAGGAGGAGGAGGAGGAGGAGGAGGAGAGGAGGAGAAGGAGGAGGAGGAGGAGAGGAGGAGGAGGAGGAGGGTGTCCACGGTTTCGATGTTCAGAGCTCGGGTGCCTCGCGGGCCTGCGTGTCATACGGTCGTTGTGGTGCGAGCCCCGAGTCCCGAGGACACAGCGCACTGCACCAGCAGCCTGGCGCCCCGCCGCCCCTAGGACCTAGCCTAGGAGCCCTTCCCTGCAAGGGGTTCCGCCGTCATTCCGCTGCAGCAGAGTGACGGCCGACGTGCTGCCATACGGAACACGGAATGAACAGCCAAGGGGCTTCTCTGGCCCCGGCGAGCCTAGGCCACGAAAATGTTTCAGATATAGATCTGAGGAACGGCTCAGAAGCCAGAGCCCCTTCTGAGCCGAAAATGATCCTGATGTCAACGCTCAACATCTTGATTGTAAAGGGGCCATGTGCTTGATCTTTACGTGTTCAGGGCTTTGGTTTCGGGCATTGCGCGTGCTGTCGTTGATTTGTTTGAATGTCTAGGGCTTAGGTGTCTACGGCTTGTGTATTCAGGGCTTACGCGTTTCGGATGGCTTACGCGTCTAAGATGTAGGCCTCTAAGGCATACCTGTCCAGGCTTGGATGTTCAGTGTTTGTGCCTCTGCAGTTCTGACATCCAGGGTTACCTAGGTGCCTGGTGATGGTGTGTTTCCGTCTCAGGCGTTCAAGGTTTGGTGGGTGGTTGGCGCTCGTTTGGTGGCAAGGACTTGGTAGTTGGATCACCAGGGAAACCAATTCACAGGGAAAACAGCCAGTCGACAAGACACGCGTGTTGTTAACCCTCCCCGCCCGCCCTCCATCCAGCCACGCCCCCTTTCATAAGGGCAGAATAATCACCCTCATTACGAATGCTCTTACAAGTGGAGCCCTGAAATGAAACACTCCTAAAGGAGGAATCTAATAGGCCAGGACTGCTTTGTAAACGTTCAGGGCTCTACACCAATGATGGGGGAGGGGGGTTCGGGGTGTTTTTCCAATCCCTTGATTCTGCGCGTCAAGACAACTGCGCAGTGTCAGGCCACGCACGCCTTCTGGGCCTTAGCATCCGATCTTCTCTCGTCAACGAGGGGCTCTTCTTCGGCGTCTGGCCTCATCTGCAAGCGGCTATACATGAAGCCGCCCAACAGGCTGACGAGGAGGCCCGAGCAGGACACCCAGGACCCCATGGTGTCTCCGAATATCACCACGCTGATGAAGATGACCGCGATTTCGGGAAAGTTGTGCAAGATCATGAACGACGTGACGCTGAGATGCCGCTGCACCTCGAAACTCAGAGCTCCAATCCCGATGCCGATGACCCCGGAGAAGCAGAGCAACGTGACCACTCTCGGGTCCGTCCAATCGCTCTTGTGCTTGGGCAGCTCACGGACCTGACCGGTGGCAAGGGCAAGTGCACAACAGGGCAGCATGCCTAAAAGGTTGACCACCATCGTGCAGACGACCGCGCGCAGGTCCTTGCACTCCTGTGTCAGCAGCCGCCGCTGCAGTACCTTGTCACCAACGGTGATGAACATGTTCAAACATGCGCATGAGATGCCAAGGATCGACACGTCTCGGACACCCTGCGCATACAGAACTGCTCCGGCCAGCGTCACCAGCAAGGAGATCACGATCCACTCGTCGATCCTGGGCCTCTTCTTCACGGGCATCACTGCTGCTTCCAGAGGAAGCGCGACCAAAGGCATCAGGTTCCGGATGACCGTGAAGAGCGACATGGAGATGTGCTGCATCGTGTACATCGATGAGCAGAGCATCCCTGCGAAAAACAGGGACACCACAGTCCAGTATGCCAGCTGCCTGCGGCTGGCCGCCAGCAGCTCCCTGCCCCAGATCGCCGCCATGGCGCCGAAGCCCAGGACCATCTGCGCCATGGCGATCAGGGCAGGCGCCTCGAGCGTCCTGGACAGCTCCACGTTGAGTACGACCATGCCGACTGAACAGGAAGCCCACGACGCGCACACCATCCCGATGCGCAGGGGGCAACTGTCCTTCCTGACGGGCACCAGCTTCAGGTACAGGAGCCACGCCGCGATGAGAGAGCCGTACATGGTGCAACAGAACACAAAAATCAGAGAGGTCACATGATCATCCTCGTGCCGACCACCTGCCAGGAAGAACTCAGGCACGAAGCCAGAGCGCGCGTACGGGATCGGCGCGCCTGGTAGGAAGACCCTGCCCGCGGCCAAGCCCGCGCCGCCGGGTCCGCCGAGGAAGCCCTCCCCTGACATTCTCAGAGGTGCTCGAGGGCGGCCTGGGTCGTTCTCGGAGTGTTGGATGGGAGGCGCAGGGAGAGCATGCTATTACTAATGTTGCATATGAACGCCCCTGGAGAGAAGGGGGTGGAGCCAACATGGCTGTGGCCAAGCGCCCCGATTCCGTCGGACCGTGGGCATGCTCGCCTTAGGTCGGGCCTGTCCCCCGACAGGGGGATTTTGGGCGAACAAAAATCTTAAAGTAGTCAACGCAAACTCCCAACATGATAAAACACATGTTAGAAACATCGTCCCCAGACTATTTTTGGATTATTTTTGCCTGCTCCTCCTGTAGGGGGACAGGCCCGACTCAATGCTCGCCCTGGCCGCCCCCGGATGCAGCGCCCGCGTGCGGCGAGAGAGATCCCGCCGCGGCATGCCCTGGCCATCGCTCGGACGTCCATTCCCTGTGCTTTTTTCGGTTTCGTGCGTGGTTTTTTCTCAAACTGATCAAGGATGCTCCTCGATGGTCCTCGCCGAAGGAAAAATGCACACGTCCGAGCGATGCCAAGTGCCTCGAGGAACGCTCCTCGCCGATCTCAGGCATCGCGTGGTGTGCCCAGGACTCCAGCAGAGCCGTCGTCCTGCCATAAGGCTGTTGCCCCCCCTTATCGTACTTAAGAACCACATCCCAGAAAGAAGTTCGAGCACCCAGAAAAGCATCGAAACAGCGTCGAACGAGTATCGCTTCCCAGGGCCAGACACGTGAAAACCCTCAATATTCGGCACTTTCGTGGTGCTCGAAATTCTGTCTGGAAATCAAAGCTAGAGCAGGTTGAACCATAGCTTCCTTGGTGACATCATAGCCATAAGGAATGAAGCCCCTTTCTGGCCCCTGAAAAAGGAGCGGAGCAGCTTTTTGGCCCCAAAGGCGCCTGGGTGTACGAGGAGCGCTGGAGGAGCAACCACGATGGGAGGACCCACGGAGCAGCGAGCCTCCTCTGGAGGCCGAGCTACTCCACGTTTCAGCGCCTCGGCTGCATAGGTCCCGGAGGGGGCCCATCCAAGGAACAGGAAGCCCCCCCTGGGCTACCCAACCTCGCACCACCTCGGGAGCAGCGAACTGTTCCAGCTCCTTGGCTGTACAGGCCCCAGGAGGCCCCATCCGGGGAAAAGGAAACCACCCCTGGGCCACCCATCTTCGCGCACGCCGCGCTGATGCGCCACGCGCGGTCTTCTTCGGCCACTGGCGCCGACCCCTGGGGCTCGGCGGTTTTGGTCTTCGGAACATACCTCGGGCATTAACAAAACGCCTGCCCAGACTAGTCGACTGAGGAGATTTGCACCTGCTTTGGAATCCGCGTGTGCCTGTGCAGTCCCCAGTCGGCTTCGCCAATGGACGTTTGCCCGGGTACATTCGCTTATGTTAAGACGTCCGATCTGCCATCCCACCCGGGTCCACTCGGAATGCGGTGCCGTACGCATGTGGAATCGGAAGCTTCCACTGAAGGCTGTTTGGCTGAGGGTGTTGCGTCAACCCTCGAATGCGAGTGGTGCGCGCGCCCTGGCTCCTGCACCCAGAAGCTGCGAGGGACAGGAGGCTTCCACCTCCTTCCTCCAGGAGTTTCCTTCCGTGGTTGGGGGGTGGGGACGAACGGCGAGCGACAAGCGAACGACAAGCGAAAATCCGCCGGCCCCCTTGCGGGGCCACCAGGCTGCGAGGGTGAGGACTGCAGCTCCCTGTTCCAGTTGCAGTTTCCAGTTTCCACCGTTACAGTCCTGCTTTCTGCTCCTCACTGTTAATTGCTGCTGAGCGCGAAGGGGGGGGAGCCGAAAAACGTCCCGGTTAGCGTCCCCGATTCGCGTCGTCTGACTTCCCAGGGGGTCGTGGGATACGTAAAAATGCATGGTATGCAAACCATAGGCAGCACATCGTCTCCCGATTTTTTTTGTTTTGTTGTTGTTGTTGTTGTTGAACATTATTTATTCTAAAGAATAATTATTGTTGGGCCCCCTGGTGCGCGCCCCCCCTGCGCCGCCTAGGCCGCAGCTACATTTTCATCATTTTCGTGAGGAAGCCTCAGAAAAGAGGGTGTGTACAGGATCCGGTTGTTTTGTTGTAATCCGCTTTCCCTTGCAAAAAACAATAGAAAATGACATTTCTTGTTCTAATATAATCAAATTTCAAGAATCCCTTGCAAAAAATAAGGTAAAGTGGACATTCGCGCGCGCAAGACGAAATCCTTCCAAAACCTTAGTGTTCGCAGCGATTTTAACATAAAAACATCAAAAAACCAATGGTTTTTCAACAAAAAACTGTCAAAATCTCATCCCGCGCGCTCTTGCGGATTCGTAGGAAACCCAACACTTTTTAAACATTTCTGTCAAACGGGCTTTTGCGAGCAACTTTTTCGAACTTCTGCGACAACCATCGGGGCAATCATCGGGACAATCATCGGGACAGTCATCGGGACAACGATCGGGACAAGCACAACCATCAGGACAACCATCGGGACAATCATCGGGACAACGATCGGGACAACCACAACCATCAGGACAACCATCGGGACAACCATCGAGACAACCATCGGGACAACCATATCCTCTCTCTCTTGTGTATTCCCACATCCCTCAGGAATTTGCCCTAAAGATGTGATCAACTATCTTGTGAGTACGTATCATGTGTATCATGTGTATCATGTACCATATGCATCATATGCAACAGATGTTCTGTGGAAGGCTTCACAACTTCTGTGGGTTAACAAGGCTTAACAACTTCTGTGGGTGTACGAACGTAGGCTTAACAACTTCTGTGGGTGTGTACTCCACGCCAGTGTAGTAGCCACGGTCGTCCGCAGGCCACGAAGTGAAGTGTCCGAACGTCATAGGGCGGGAAGCTGGGTGTGGGTGGTGGCGAAGAGTCGTGTGGATATTTGGTAGAGCTTGCACTGCCCCCCCACAAAGTGGGGGTATTGGCTGGCGTCGCATGAAAACCCTGGCACTGGTGAGAACACTGAGCGTTCGGGTAAAGTGATTGTTGTTGTTGTTGTTGTTGTTGTTGTTGTTGTTGTTGTTGTTGTTGTTGTTGTGTGTGTATGTGTGTGTGTGTGTGTGTTTTTTTGTGTGCCTATTTTTGAGTATTCCTCCTGAGGAGGGACACGCCCGACTTGAGTCTACGACCCACCCTCAAGGACCCCGCACCCCCGTGCTTCGCGGCGACCCCCCGGCGCCGTGCGCGGCCCTGCGGGCGGCCCCGCCCCCGCGGACGCCGGCGGGGGGAGGCCGTGCCCCGCGGGCCGGGCGGCTCCGCAGAGAGCGGCGGGGCCGCCTCCGCTGGCGGAGAGGGCTCCGCTGCCGCGGGCGGCGGCGGCGGCGGCGAGGGCGGCGGCGGCTGGAAAGGCAGCCCGGGCCTTCGATCTCTTCGAGGCGCCGTCCCTGGAGACCTGGGCCCCCGCCCCAGCTGCTTCGTCCAGGGCCGTCCTGGCGTGGTGGCCCTGGGGCTCAGAAGGCGGCCCCCGGAAGGAACATGCCGTGGTGCTTTCTCTGGCGAAGGCTCGAGGTCTGGCGACGGAGACGCGGCGCCAGTGGCGGCGACGGCCGTGTCTTTTTGTCCGCGTCGCTTCGAGGTCTCGCGACGAAGATGGCGCTGGCGGCGGCGACGGCGGCGGCGGCCGCTGTGCTTTTCCCCGCGATGCCTGGAGGTCTGGCGACAAGTACGGCGGCGGCGACGACGACGGCGACGACCGTCGGGTCTTTTACCGCAGCGTGGAGGTCGGGCGGCGAAGACGGCGACGACCGTCGGGTCTTTTGCCGCAGCGTGGAGGTCGGGCGGCGAAGACGGCGACGGCGGCGGCGGCGGTCGTCGTGACCTTCTGCGCGACGCCTGCTCAGACTCCCGACGTCATGACTTTTCGTGGTGGCCCCCGGGCCCGAGGCAGGGCGACAACGCCCGGCGTGAGCAAAACTGCAACGCCCAGATCTCACCGATCTCACCCTCCTCCTACCATTTGTCCTCCTCCTCCTCCTCCTCCTCCTCCTCCTCCTCCTCCTCCCCTACCCTCTTCCTCCTCCTCCTCCTCCTCCTCCTCCTCCTCCTCCTCCTCCTCCCATCCCCTTCTCCTAGAGCCTCCTCGGGAGAGGCGGCCAGCCGGCGGCGGTGGCGGCGGCGGCGGCGGCGCAGGTCAGGGCCAGACCGCTAGGCGAGCGCGCCGCCGCTGCCGGGCCACCGCCCACCGGCGGCGCGGCGAAGCCCCAGGGCGCCACGAGGGCGGCGGCCGCGCCTCGTCGGGCGCTCCTCCTCCTCCTCCTCCTCCTCCTCCTCCTCCTCCTCCCCCTCCTCCCCCCCTCCTCCTCCTCCTACTCTTCCTCCTCCCCCCTCCTCCTCCTCCTCCTCCTTCCTCGTCCTCCTCCTCCTCCTCCTCCTCCTTCCTCGTCCTCCTCCTCCTCGTCCTTTCCTCCTCCTCCTCCTCCTCCTCCTCCCTCCCCCTCCTCTTCCTCCTCTTCCTCCTCCTTCTCCTCCTTCTCCCTAGCCACTAGCCAACCTCCTTCTCCCTAGCCACTAGCCAACCTCGACCGAGCCCCTAGCCCCGAGATCGGCAAGCCCAAGGCGACGACAATTTGAGGGTTGTGCCCTCAGAAACGGTGGGAAGCCTCAAGATCGGCACCGAGGCAAGGTGATGCCAAGCATAGGGGTAGGGAGATGTTTCAAAGCAAGAGCTTGGACTTCAATCGAAGCGTTTTCTCAAACAGCGGTCCAGGTCCAGAGATACGGCAGTTATGCGCTAAAGTGCAGCTCCGAGAAACCGCCCAGGGCCCAGTCCAGCTTCTTCGTTTTTTCTTGAACGAAGTCTGGAGTCAATGAGAAGTTCCCGTTCTCGGGTCTACGTATATTCCTCCTAAGAGGGGGTCCGAGCAGATGGGGTCGGAGGATCGCGCCGCATCGCGAAAGCTTCGGCGATGCATCGGCGATGCAACGGCGCCGTCGGCGATGCATCGCCGCCGTCGGCGTGAAGAAAGTCGAGCCCCACATCGCGCCGCCTCGCCGATGCGTCGGCGATGCGGCGCGATCCTCTGACCCCATCTGCAGTCAACCCGTATCATAAGGATGCGCGGTAAGGATGGAAGGGCCTTGGAAGGCCATGTGAACGTTTTTCGAACGAGGCTGGCCAACGAAAGCCGCTAAGGACGGGCCGGAGGGGCAAGGATGCAAGGGTACCCTTGGGAAGGTTGCCCATCC